GGTCTGGCTGGTACCTTCTTCAAATTCCAGACTTCTCTGATGATTTTCCCACGTGCGGCTGCAGACCTCTTTATTGAGTGGTGTGCTTGGGCTGGTTTGGGTGGGCCATAGGGTTTGTGAGGGGAGGTCACAGGAGATGAAGATGAACCACAGGACCTCAAATGACAGCGTTGGTAATTGCAGGCCCTGAGCAGGTGAGTAACACTATTGTAGCTGTGTGCTGAGGAAGGCGAAGGTCTTTACCTTCCAGCGACTACCCTTGCTCGCATTTTCCTCACAGCTCAGCTCCTGAAAGAATTGATTGTATTCCCTGTCTCTTTCCTCAGCTCACATTCAGTCCCATAGCTCACACTCACTGTTCCTCCAAACTGCCAGACGCCTAAGCTATTTCTTTGTTGGTTCGCACCCTGTCCAACCTGCGCTGAGTTCTTTGGCCTCTCCATCTCGGTCTCCCTCTGTCCACCTCTCCTCCCCTCACGTGTTGCCTGGGCTCCCAGCCCTCAGTCCTTGGCCAACTCCACCTGACAAGTCCTCCTGCTTTGCCAGTGTCCCTGTCACGCTGCCAGTTTTTCCAGCTTCAAAAGATTTGGGGCTCACATTTCACGCCATGGTTTCATGGTAGCCATCTGATGTTAAACCAGCTCTGCTTTCATGTCCTTTTCTCCTCTCATTTTCCCTTTTTATCTGTTTCGGAAGCTAATTCCTTCTTATTTTGTGAACCCTCAATACTTTCTGGTACAAGAGAGGCACTAAGTGACACATGCATACTGGCAACTCCTGAACCTGTGCCTATGGCCTGGTCTCTGAGAAGGGCTGTGCTGTCCACTGCTATAGCGTCTAGTTCCATATGGCGACCTGAATGTGAATGTACTACAATAAAGTCAACTTCAGTTCCTTATCTGGACTAGTGACATTTCAAATGCACAGCAGCTACATGGCTAGTAGCTACTGTGGATAGCACAAATCTCTAGAACATTTCCCTAATTGTAGAAAGTTCTATTGCAGAGCACTTAGAGGCTATATTTCCTCATTTGAGTGTGTACCACATGTACCTCAAACCAAGCATTTCCCAAGCAGGCTTTATTATCTTTTGCCCAAATTTCCTTTTTCTTTACAAGCTCTGTGCCCCCATCTCCCCAGGCACCCAAATCAGAAGTCTCAGTCAGCTCTCAACTCTTCCCTCACCTTCCTCCTCGGTGTCCCATCAGTTCCCAGGTCCATCCGTGCTGCCCCTTTAGCATCTCTCTCCTCTCCCTTCTCCTCCAGCCCATCCTCTCCTCTGAGCTCCAACTCCTGTTGTCTGTCACCTGAACTGTGTCTGTGGCATCCCAGCTGAGCTCCCTGCTCTAGGTCTCCTAGAGCTTGTCCATTGTTCACACTGTGTCCCTAGTGACTATTCACACATAAGTGTCATTGTCACGCCCCTGTTCTTTAACAAGCCAGTGACTCCCTGCCCACAGGATCCATCCAAACCCATCAAAAGGCCTTCAGGGCCAGACATGACCTGGCCACCACCTGCACCTCCACTTCCAGCATTCTGGACACCTGCATGACAGGCCCCCACCATGCAATTCCATACCTCTGCTGCACATGGACTCATGCTCCTTGACAGACACACCTTTTCTCCAGACTGTGGTCAAGTCTAGCTCCCTCTGCAGCCTTTCTGGCCCTGCACCTAAAAGAGAACTGACACCTCCCCCCCTTCCTCTTTCCTGAGCCCAGCTCTTTGGCAACTGACACAGCGTCATCTGCTCACTGGCCCGCTGTCCCCTAGTAAGCGCCTTAAAAGGTTGACATACAGTCCTTGGATCACTGGCGCTCGTGCTCAATACATGTAAAAGGAAGGCAGAGAAGGAGGAAGAGACCCAACTAAGACACCATTGCAGTTGTAGGCTAAGAGAAGGCAGGGGCTAACACTGCATGAAAGTAGTCCTGGAAAAGGGAGGGCAAGTTCATATCAGGTGGCCTAGCTCCGGTCTGAGGACTTGTACGACCCAACAGAACAGGCCGATTCAAAGCTGATGGTGAGGTTTGAGTGTAAGGACTTAGGAGAATGGTGTACCCAATAACCGATAAAGGAAGAGCAGAAGGAATTAGTTTTAGAGGGTAAAAACTATCCAGCTGATTTTAGACAAACTAAGTTGAAAGTGCCTGCAAAATGTTCAGGTGATTGGAAATGGAGTTGACGCCTGGGGCCTAAATAAAAACGAGAGTAATACGCTTGACACAAAACCAGTTTTCCTCTCTCTTGCCAGAATGTGAAGCTTTGCATAGCACCACGTGGGAGGTGAGCAAGTACCAGACAACCTGGGGCTGGAACACAGCGGATATCACTTGGAATAAGATCACCCCACGTCTGTTTTGTTATTAGAGGCAATAGTTGAAGCCACAGACATGCAGTTGCCAAGTACAAGAATAAGACAAAAAATAAAGGTCCTTGAGCCAAACCGTGGAAAGCTGATTATTGTCACAAACTGGTGAGGGAAACGCCATCAGGGATGAGACTACTCAGAACAGAAGGGCTGACAGTCCAGGTACCTGGGGCCCAGGAAGAAGAGCAAAGGCTGACCCAGTGCCCACTACAGTGACGTCAGGGCTCTCTTGGAAGCACACAGAGTAGGGCGTAGCCTCTGGACTTGTGGGTGGCCCAAGATGTAAATCAGGACTCTCTGAGTTGCCTGGAGCCCAGGTCCACCCTGGGGAAGGCACTGGCAGAAGCCAGCAAGCCAGAGATCTTACTGGGATTCCAAAATGGGGCCCAGTAAGTCACATTAAGAAACTAAAAAAGCTGCTAGGTGCTCACGCAGCAAGACATTTTAAGTTAGACAGCCCCCATGAGCAAGGTCACGATGTCCACGCCAGAGGTCCTCCTGCCTCTCAGACCTTGCGCCTCACTGGCTGAGCCTTCAGGTAGTTGGCTTTTGGGGTGAGAGATGGGGCAGATGGGGCCCATCCAATGTGGGGTGGTGAGTGTGGTGGCAGCCGAGGCAGGAGGGGAGAGCCTCATGGCACAGGGTTGAGGAGGAGTCCTCACAGGAGAGACATTTAATGCTATCTGTACCTGCAGGGTAGGTTGAGGAAAGGCTGTTGGTCTTGACATTTAGGAGGTGAACCGAGATTTTGGAGGGAAATTGTGGAGACTGAAGTCGGCGTGTTAGAGGTGAGAGGACAGAGGTTCTGAACTGTCGGCTGGATGTTAAGAGGCCATGAGTAGAAGGCAGGGGAGAGTTGTTTGGGACGCCTGAGACCTGAGTGTTTTTCCAGGTTATGGGAAAGTATGTGCAGAGGGTGAAATGATGGAAGGAAGACATGGGATAGTGGTAGGAACACGGTGTGGGAGAGTGTGAAATTAATAGCAGGAGTGGTGGCATTTACAATCTTTTGCCTCTAAGCAGAGGAAGAAAGGGGACATTTCTGAGCAGCAGCGTGATAGAAAAGATTAGGAAGCTCAGATCAGGTGGCCCAGGCTTCTCTGCAAAGTGGTTGTGATGCCATTAACAAAGAAGAATGCTGAAGACTGGGAAGAGGTAGAGGTTCAGACTGTCTCCACAGAGATCGGGGGCAGGGATAGGGCCAGAAGGCTGGAGTGGTAGCTGAGGCCCCAGGACAGGTGGCCGGTCAGCCTTGTTTGGGCCTTGCTCTAACCAGTGTTGGCAGCCCAGAAGGGCACAGGGGGTCCTGGGGCCACTCGAGCGTGGATGGGCAGCAGAGTGGGCTCCATGCTATCCCAGCAGTGCTCAGGAGGGGATGGAGGCCTGGGGCACAGAGGAGAGGGAGCAGACACAGTGACTGCACAGTGCTACCCAAGGCAGGTCAGGAGAAAAGGCGGTGAAGGGCAGGGTGAGAGCAGATCACAGAGGGTGAAGTTTAGGATGTTAAAGGTTAAACTTTTTCAAATGAAACCTTTTAAGCACATAAGGAAGAGAGAATAGTGAAAGCCACGTACTTGTCCGCAGACTGAGCAATTCAAGGTTGAGCACAGGTCAGAGATGCGATATAAATATGAAAAGGTGGGACAGGAGGCAGCGAAGTGCTGGAGGTTGCAAGTTATCCAGCAAAGACCCTCGCCAATGGCTGGTGATGGGGATAAGGGTGCAGATGCTGAAGGATTACCACAGGTTCCTGGTACTTTCTGCCTGGTGAGGAAGGGGGTGGGTTTGGGGTAGGTGACAGGAACAAGGACAGAGAGGGTGCCAGAGCCATACATAGGTCTAGTGAACGCTGGAGGGAATGGAGTAATGACAAGGGCAATGGGGTGTGGGTGGCCTGCAGGAGAGGGGTGGTGGGGAAATTACCAAAAATCCATGATCTGCCTGGTTCCTTAAGCAGGAAGAGAAAGGATGTTCATCCTTGCAGAGGATACTGAGGGGCTCAGTGTCACACAGGCAATGCCAGTCCTGGGGGAAGCAGAGTGTGGTTAATGGAGGGAATTTGATCTGTAATAGGAGGGACAGGCAGGGGCTAGTGGGCTTAGGAGGAGGAATTTCTGTTGTTGGTGATTATGGAGACTTAGGGGTCAAAAAGATAGGTTATGTTCTGCGTGTGTGCATTGGGCACCTCTGAAGTCCTCATGGTAAAATGGGAGGAACACAGTGGCTTTTCAGATCCTAAAGATAAAGAGAAAGGTGAAGCAACATGGGCATTTTTTCACACACAACAGATTCTTTGTGTATTAACTTGTCTAGGACAACCACAACCGGCTCCTTAGAAGAGATGAGAACTGAGATGAGAACGGTGCTCTGTTTAACCTCTGGATAAATCGTGTTCTCCACACGTCCATTTGCGATTATCCTGTGTTGGGTCTACTTAGTCTGTTACTGAGGAATCTAAGAACTGGAGAGTTTTTTTCTGATTAGGCCCCTTAATGCTCTTCTCCAGAGATTTCCAGAATATCTGTTAATAATTTCGGTTGTTGCAGCAATGCTTTTGGGCAGTGCAACCTGTGCTAATACAGAATATGTTTCTCACACACTGTCACAGTCGTAGGCTAAATAATGTCTTTAAGTATCTCCTCATATATATATATATCTATCTATATCTATATATCTATATCTATATATATATATATATATATCTCTTTATTGAGGAAGGGAGAGGGAGAAAGAGAGGTAGAAACATCAATGATGAGAGAGTCATTGATCGGCTGCCTCCTGTATACCCCTGGCAGGAGTGAGCCTGCAACCCAGGCACATGCCCTGACCAGGAATCGAACCGCAACCTCCTGAATCCTAGGTCAGTGCTCAACCTCCAGGTCACACCCAGCCGGGCCTCTTCACCTTTTAAAATGTCTCTTTTGTGACATATAGGCTAATTGTCTCCACGATTCCTGAAGCTAACCATTAGGATAGAAGGATCTTCTTTTAAAGTCTTGATCTTTAACAGGATAACAGCATCCAGTAAGTCAGTGACACATTCTTCCAAATAAAGGTAATTTCTGAAAAACATAGTTTTATAGATGCTCTTAAAAGGAAATTGGGAGTTGGAGAGAAGATTCATTTTAAATTGTAAGACAAACTAACATTTGGGAATCTCCCCAGAGCCAGGCATTGCACTAAGTGCTTCCCATGCATTATCTCACTTCATTCTCACAGTGATGTCGTGGAGCCAATAATATAGCCATTCGCACTTTGTAAATGGGCATCAGAAATGTTCAGTCACTTTCCGAGGAAGGGTCACAAGGTGAGTGGCACAGTCAGAATGCAGTCTTGGTCTTGCCCATTTGCCACATTGCCAGTCCGGCACACACTGCAAGGTGAGTATGATCACTCAGGTTTTTTCATAGAGGAGGAAGGTGACTCACATGTGAGCAAGAAGGGCATTAGAGATGTAAAAACACAAGCTTGTCTGTTACACAACGTTCCCTTGCTGCCTAGAGCTCTTTTGTCATCGTATCACCAAGTATTCATCTGTGGGTGAAAAAGGTCCAAATGCCTGTTAAGTTTTTATTTTAATTTAAGTTTTATATTTTTTCTATCACCATTTATCCCCTCTATGCTCTCTTCCACCTCCCCCTGCCAATCACCACATCGTTGTCCATGTCCATGAGTTAAAGTTTATACAGCGGAGAATAAAAGCTACAACAGATTTTTAAAGATTTCCTAACTCAATGGGAAAAGGGTATTTTAATTTCTGTGTTAAACGTCAAGTTTCTTTTGAGCATTCCTTCTGTTTGTTGCTTTAGAAGTGATGCACCAATTAAAACCCAAAGTGAACTTTTTGAGCCCATAGTCACTGCTCTCAAATTGCTGACTGGCACAGTTGTGGCTGTTGAGACACTTGTGCTTAGTTTTTAAAGGATCGCATTAAATAAGACTAATGGGGCTGTGGTCATTTGTGGGTTGACTGGGGAACATCTGTGTCTTCATTACAATATGCTCACAAATCAATATCATCATTACTCTTCATAACAGAATTTCAAGTCAACCCTCGTTAATTTTTTTTTTTTTTGTAAGTATATGGACTGGAGTGGCTTTCTGGGAAGGATGAGTCATTTTCTTAAGTGGATACTAATTGAAGTGCACGTGTCTGTGACTGTGCTGTGCTACACTCCTGTCAGCGCACAGTTCTTTGGCAGTTTGCCTTTGAGCATGTTCTCATCTTCTAATGACAGTTATGTTCTCAAAAGGCTGGAGAGAGAGGAACTGGAACGAAAGGCAGAAGAGGAAAGACTTCGCTTAGAAGAGGAAGCCCGTAAGCAGGAAGAGGAAAAGCAGCGACAGGAAGAGGAAAGGCAGCAGCAGGAAGAGGAAAAGAAAAGGCTGGAGGAAGAGGAGGCCGAGAAGAAGGCCAAAGAGGAGCTGCTGTTGAAAGAAGAGCAAGAAAAGGAAAAGCAAGAAAAAGAAAAGCAAGAAAAAGCCGTGATCGAAAAGCAGGTACTTGGGAGTCTTCATATAGACTCTTCTTAAGGACCTTAGTTAGCATTAGGTAAAATTAGTTAAATTTGAATGACTCATTATATTTTCTTGAAGTATTTTTTCTTAAACCAACTGGGCTGATTATTAAATATGAGTCACTTTGGGCAATCAAAGTGAAGTTGGTAATGTTTGCTGTATGCTTGTTAGGGCTCCCTCAGACAGACCCTGGAGGAGAATTTGGGTGCCAGTAATTGATTTGGGAGAAGATCCCAGGAAGCTAGTAGGGGAGTGAGAGGAAAGCCAATGTAAGCGCATTGATGTGTGGGTTTCTATGGGCAACTGCAACTCACTCCCTTTGGGACTATCTAAGAAACTGTGGAACATGCCTAGAATTGTCCCTCCGAGGGATGAGGAAACTGGATTATTATTTATCTACCAACTCCTGCCTCTCATGGATGAAGGTCAATCCTTGGGGAATTAACTTCCTGAAACTCCTAGCCACATATACACTTCATGGCCAAAGGCTGCCATCAGACACAAAGACTTTGGCCATGCATGGGAAGTGTCTACACTTGATTTGCAGGATAGGTGAGTGAGGCCCAGCTAGTCTGCTGTGTCGTAGAGCCGGCCGTGTAAATCCACACTGAGTGGTAGAGCAGCACCACTTTGGGGTAGATGATGCGGTCAAGGAACATGTGCAAACCCTAGGTAATTGCTACAGTGTTTTCGTAGCTTAGTAAAGCCTATGCCTTGGTTTACCTGTTCCTTTCAGAAGGAAGCAGCAGAAGCAAAGGCCCAGGAGGCAGCTAAACAGATGCGTCTAGAAAGAGAACAGATCATGCTGCAGATTGAACAGGAGCGACTGGAGAGGAAGAAGGTAAGGGCTAAGGGGTTAGGAGGACTGAGGGTGAGGCAAATCCAGTTCTCTTTTGCAGTTGTTGGGTAGAGTGATCTTAGAATTGTCAAATTAGGTCAGGTTCATTGATAGTGCTATTCAGATCTTCTATATCTTTATTAGCTTTCTGTCATCTTGTTCTGTCAGTTACTAAGAGAGGAGTGTTAAAAGCTTCATCTGTGATTATGGATTTGTCCATTTCTCCTTCTTTATCAACTTTTGTCTTATATGTTTTGAAGCTCTGCTGTTAGGTGAATATATATTTCAAAGTACTTAATTTTCCTGTTGAATTGACACCTACCTTTATCATTAGAAATGTCCTTCTCTATCTCTAGTAATACTTGTCTTAAAGTCCACTCCATCGGTCTTTTTATGATTAGCATTTGCATAGTAAATCTTTTTCTGTCCTTTTACTTTGAACCTATGTGTGTCCTTATAAGTGTGAGTAGCGTATAGTCAGGACTTGTTATTTTAATCCAGTTTGACAGTCTTTGCTTTCAGACTGCAGTGTTTGGTCTATTTACATGTCATGGAATTATGGATAAAGTGTGTTTAAGGAGGCTGATTATAAAGGTCCATTATCATGGTGTCCCAGCTCCGGCCTGGGCTTTGTGCTGCTGTAGGTGTGGGCCTGGGAGCCAGGAAGCCAATCTGTGGCCTTCCCTCTCAACTTGCATCTCAGCCTCACTTTCTCTAGGGTGGTCCCCTTGAATAGCAGGTGGTGATTATTGATTTTTTTAGGTAACCTAAGGAGAGGAAGGAGAAAGATGGAATATAAATGAGATGTTGATTCTAGATACTTACTAGTTCACTTTTCAAACATTTGACCTTGTTGAGAGGGCAAAGGTGTACATCTGCAAAACCAACAGAAAACCTTTCTATACTCATTATCCTCTGCTGACGTTTCTGTTTTATGAGTTTTCTGAGAAATGTGAAATTGCATATAGACCCGTCTACTTTCATGCCTTTTTGGTCTTGCATTCCTCTTACCTGGTTCTGTTTGGTTTCCAGAGAATAGATGAAATCATGAAGAGAACAAGGAGGAGTGATGTGTCTCCAGAAGTGAAGGTAAGCATTCAGAATACCATTCTTTTAAATATGTTTTTTATTGATTTTAGAGAGAGAGGAAAGGAGAGGGAGAGAGAGAAACATCAATGTGAGAGAGAGGGGATCGAATCCGTAACCTGTGTATGTGCCCTGATTGGGAATCAAACTGGCAACCACTTGGGGCTTGGGACGACGCTCAGCCAACTGAGTCACACCATCTAGGGCCAGAATACCATTTTAATAGTTTGTGTGCTGAATGGCAGAAGACATTCAGTGGAATTGTGGATCTCAGAGAGGAGCAGCCAGACAAAATGGACCCTTCCTGCTTTGTTCCTGGCTATATTAAGGAGGCTGTAGGTCCCCAAAAAGAGGAGTCTAAGAGAGGAGTTTCAGAGACGGGGTGGTAATTAAATATTTCCTCAGAGAAATGGGGGTGGGGATGCAGGGAGAGACACAGTAGTCATGAATAAAAAAGAGAATGGTGACATATTAATAAGGGAAACAGCTGATTTGTAATAAGCTCAGAAAACCCAAAGAACTACCATGGAGCAGACAGATGGCCCAGCATGGTTCCAAATAGCCTCTGATGCTTTTCAAAAGCATTTGTATTTTTATGTGAAGTCAGCCTCCCCTCTGTTTGTTTTCAGAAAGAAGACCTGAAAATAGAGCTCCAGCCCACTGTGTGCATGGAAAGTGAGACAAAAACAGTTGTCACTAACAAAATAGGTGAGTGAGAGGTCTGGTTCTTGGGTATCTCATTTCAGGAGGTGAGGGCTTGATGCACTTCCTGCAGGGGACAGACACCTGTGGGTCCTAAGAACATGATTGCTGAATGGGGGCTGTGCACTTTCCCTTCCCCGGTGGAGTCTCAATCTCCAGCACAAATCTGCCGGGAAGTTTCGGAAAGGCCTGGGTTCCTTGGTTACTCTAATTATTGCAGTGCAGGAGCTAGCCGTCTGCTGCCCATGCTGCTTTCCAGGGAGCTTACGTGCTGGGCAGGTTCTATTAAAAACTGACCACTATTCTATGACAGTTTCTTCTGCCTGCCACACCTCTGGGTAGTCTAGCTCTTTTCTAGTGTGTACACTTAAAACTTCTTAGGTTTGAATATTTCATGGCAGCCAAAGTCAGAAAAGGCATACCCATCTCAGAGTCACTCTTCACATTTCTCCTTTACTTTGTGGCTCAAGAACCTGCTGCCAGCCTGGCTGGCGTGGCTCAGCAGTTGAGCATCAACCTATGATCCAGAAGATCCCTGTTCGATTCCTGGTTGGAAACATACCCTGGTTGTGGGCTCGATCCCCAGCAGGGGGTGTGCAGGAGGCAGCTGATCAATGACTCTCTCATCATTGATGTTTCTATCTCTCAACCTCTCCTTTCTTCTCTCTGAAATCAATACAATATATTTTAAAAAACCCAAAAACCTGCTGCCAGAACTAGGGGACTTGTACAGTGTATGACACAGAGACTCCTGGCTGGGTCCTGAGCTCTGCTGCACAGACACTGGTAATGCCACTTGTCTTCTCTTCCCCTGTGTGCCAGTGATTACCTGGGATTCTTTTTGCAAAAGATATTGCATTATTGGTAAAGCAGAGGATTATATTAATTGCCTCGATATACAGTGGTGCCTCGGTTTTCGAACGTCTCTGTGGACGAGCGTTGCGGGTTACAAACGCCGTAAACCCGGGAGGAAATGCTTCGGTTTTTGAACACGCCTCAGAAGTCGAACATGCCCCACGGCTTCTGCTGAGGGCAAGATCCCTCAGTTTCCGAACGTTTCAGAACTTGAACGGTCTCTAGAACGGATTACATTCGAAAACCGAGGTACCACTGTATATATTTCCTCTGTTGCTCCATTGTTTTGGGTATTTTATGATGAACAGAATGACTTTCTGTTCTCAATCAGAAATCAATGGATTGAACACCTGCCAGGAAGTTAACAGTGTGGAGCGTGCCGCCCCAGCAACTCTCCCCCGAGACGGTTTCTCCAAAGGGCTGAAACCAGTTGGGGGACTTGCTCATCTGGATGCCCTTGATGGGAAATCAAACAGTCTGGACGACTCAACTGAAGAAGTTCAGTCTATGGATGTGAGGTAAGTTGATTTCTGTTGCATTTGAGACTCATCTCTTCTCCAAACACCTCCCCCACCTCATAGTTGATTTCTTCATTTTTTACACATCCCGATCAACTCAGATGGCTTCGGTTGCCATTCAGGAAAGCTCTCAGTGGTACATTAGAAGCAGAGCCTAGGGTTTGGGGGTCTAGGGCCTGGGATTTATGGGAGAGAGTCTTAGGAGAAAGTGGAGGGTGTGAGAAACAGCATAGGGCCGGGGAAATCACCGGGCAAGGTGCAGCCCCAGCTGGTCCCATGGGAGCCCTGGAGGATGAATTTCTAGCAGCTTATGATCTGAATGAGAGAAGGGGGCAGCCTTCATGCCGTTATCCGTCAGTCCTTGGTGGGGCAGGCAGGTATAATGTGTGTGGGCATGGGGCTCCCGTCAGCTGAAGGCAGTTGTCCAGAACACAAGTGGCAGCTCAGAATGCTTAGCTGCCAGCTCTCTCTGCAGCTGAGGGATTGGTGCACCTGCGGGTAAAGGGGCACCCTGAACAGGGCCCACTGTGTCTAGTGTCTCACGTTTAAGGGGACCTGTTATTGAAGACTCGATAACGGAACTAGTTTGCTTTCAGATTCTCAGAACTTAAGGAATTCTCACACTGGTATGTTTGTGGATGATACCACCTGGCAAATTCATCCCAGATGAAAGGAGAACAGTTCGTGTGGGGTGGGGGCAGTGGCACTGGACTAGAGAGCCCCAGGCAGGGCCCTTGGAGTGGAGGCGGCTCTTCGGTCAGGAGGGACCGACAGTGTTGGCAAAAGCTCCCCCAGAGCTTACCCTGCTCTCCTTGACTGCGAATTCTCAGCTAAGTCTAGGGGGAGAGGTATGAGCGGAGGGCCTTTCCCACCCTGGCCTTGAGCTGGATATGTGAAAACCCAACTTCCAGCAGCCCCATCACCAGGGGAGCACGTCCTGTGCACACTGATAGCAGGGCCTCCTCAGCCCTTGCCACCATCTCCCCTGCCACCACCGGCCACCACCAGCCACCATCATGGCCGGCAGCCTCCAGGGAAAACAGCTGAGGCATATTAAAGGTTAACAG